GGAACGCCATCAAGGCCACGACGACGGTCCACTGCAGCGCCAACGACCTCGCGTCCAAGCTCAACGACCCACAGCAGATGCACATCTTTGACGAGATGACCGACAACTGCCGCATCATCGAGGCGCTCAACCCGGCCGAGACCAAGACGATCCGGTATGTGCAGGCCAAGCCGGTGTTTCCGACGACGGCGCGCGACTTTCTCGTCGTGACGAGCGAGCAGCGCCTCGAGGACGGCTCCATCGTCATTGGCACCAAGAGCGTCGAGCATGATAGCGTGCCGGTCAGCAAGCACTTTGTGCGCGCGCACACGCACGTGTCGGGGTACATTATTCGTCCGCTGACGCCGACGTCGTGCTCGGTGACTTTGATTGTGCACATGGACCTCGGCGGCTACATGCCGGCGTACGTGATCAACCTCTTGTCGGTGGCGTCGCCGATCCAGTTGCTGAAGCGGTTCCGTGTTCTGTACGGTCGCGTGTAAGCACTTGACGCGATCAAAGTTTAAGTTATGCACCGCAATTCATTCTATCTATCAATGTATCAATCCGATTCATGAATTCGGTTATCACTATCCATGACATCGCAGTTTAATCGCTAGTCATGGTCAGAACAGCCCATCGTCGTCGTCACCTCGCAGGGGCCGGTGGATTGTGGCAGTTGGAAAGATCGCGCTGAGCGTGGTCACCGCTTCTCCGACGTCGCCGCGACACCACGTGCACTGCCAATGGTGCACAGCATGCGTTCTGGGCGTGTAGAAACCCTTTGGGTGATCGCGCAGCCAATTGCAGGCTTTTCGTCCGAGCGGATCGAAGCGGTCGCGGCAGAGTTCCAGCAAACGACCCAGGTTCCAGTAGGCAATCTCCGGGTAAAAGTACTCTTCGGGAAAGACGGTGACGCTAGCGCCCACTCGCTCGGCATCGAATTCATGGTACACGGCTTCGACGAGGCGCGGGCCCGTGAGTGAGACCGGGTCTTGCTTGGCGCCACCGGCTTGAAACTTGGCCAAGATCGCATCGAGGACTTGGAGCCAGAAAGGGTGTCCGCGACGCGACGCCAGCACAGCGTTGCAAAGGATCGCGTCGGTAGCGCGTTCAAGGAGCACTGCGTGGACGAACGGCTCGGTGCTCAAGAAGAGGTCTTTGTCGAGCAAGTCGTCCAGCGGCGATGTGCTCTCAAAGTCACAGTCGACGTAAACGCCGCCAAAGCGATGCAGAAGCGCATACCGCGTCATGTCGGCCAGGTGGATCTTGCCCACGGACGAGGCCACGGCATAGTACTGCGGGTAGTGTCTCGCGAAGAGCGCGAGGTTGGCGGCGTCGTCCCAAAACACGTATGTCCACGTCGGGTGGTGCTGTACCCACGAGCGCATCCACGGCGCAAAGATCTCAGGAATCGCATCTGCCGACTTCCACGACTGATGCAAGATGCGCGGGATCACCGACTCGATGATGGGCGTCGACGACGCATTGCGGCTGCTTGCGGGTGGCGCTGGGGTTGTTAATGACGACGCTCGCGCTTGCATAGTAAATGAAATGGGCTCCAACGTCGATGACAAAGCCTCTTGCTCGTATATTGCCGCTGGCTCGGGCGTCGCCTTTCTGGAGGTTAACGGGGCAGCATGGTGGAGGCGCGTGGACGGTAGGTGCAGTGCCAGCGTAAGGAACATGACGAGCATTGTGGCAATGAGCACACAGAAGCCTGCGTATGGCTTGCATCCGCGCCGGCGCGCCTTGACGACGGTCACAACGTCGTCGTGCATGTGCAAGGTCGTCCTCGTCGTGGGTTTCACAGTTTTTGACTCGGTCGTTTCCGGATTGGTCGAAACGATGCCTTTCTATTGATTTTTAACCAATAATATGCGCTGATTCCAGACAATCCAACAATGGCGACGCCGCCAGCAGGCCAGACGAGCAAGGGGCGGTGGGCGCTCCTGCGCCGTGCGATCGTGACCGCGTCGACGACAGCGCCAGCGTCGTCCGCCATGTCCATCTTCCAGTTCCATGACCCGGCGGTGCCCCGGCCAACGGTCTACGCCAGCGCGACGCCGGAGGCTGGCTACGACTGGGTCGAGTACATGCTTCCCGGTGGCCGCTCGATCCTTTTGCACCAGCGCCGCGAGACCGCTCACGTCTCGCTGCGTGAACTCGCCATCCGCGATGTAGACAACACGGGCAACATCCGCACGTGGCCCAGCGAAGACATTGCGCTGCGGTACCTTCTCCGAACGCTGCCATCGCGGACAGGCGGGCCGGCGCGCGTGCTCGAGCTCGGCGCTGGTATGTGCGGCGTCGCCGGCTTTGCCTTGGCTGCAGCGTGCGATGCACTCGCTTCTGTCACGATCACGGACGGCAACCCCATGTGTGTCGAGAACCTCGCGCGGATCGTGTCCATGAACAGCGCTCGCCTCAGATGCCCGGTCGAGACGACGCTGTTGCAGTGGAGCCGGCATCTACCGCCGCCGTCATCGCCGCTTTTCGACGTCATTTTGCGAGCGACTGCGTGTTTTTCGAAGCCTACCACGATGATCTGCTGCACACGCTCCGGACGCTCCTCGCCCTCGACGGCGTGGCCACCTTGGTGCAACCGACGCGCGGTGGGTCCCTCGATCGGTTCCTCGCCAAGGCTACGGCGTTCTTTACTATTGACGTGCAAACTATGGGGTTTGATGCGATCGTCGACGCGACGCGTGCGACCGCCGATGCGCGGCTGGACCCGGACATTCACCTCCCAGTCCTCGTGACCTTGCGCCATACGAGTGACTCTCAACATGCAGGTCGTCCGACTCGATAAAGTGAACGCGATGGATGCTGATGCGGCTCACGACACTCCATATTACGCAAGGCGCGGGCTAACGTTGCCAAAGGAGACAGTAGTCCAGTTAGCGCGTCGTTGCTGCTCTTGTCGAAACGAGTTTAATATGGTTGACGCAGCACTGGGTAGGACAGTGATCTCTCTACGCCACCTTGCGCCTCGACGGCGGCAGTCCAGCCTACAGGCAACGGGGCTTGCGGAATGGCTCGCTACTGTTTGTGCCGATTATGTGAGTCAAAGACCAGCCATCGACCCTCCTGGATGACGACATGCATGAACGACCAACTTCAACAACTTTGCAACCGCGAGAGATGAGCCTTCAACGAAGCTCGCCGTCGTCTTCTCTGTCTACGAGCGGAGAAGAAGAGAAAGGGATGGGGTCACAACATCCCATGACGGGATCCTTGCGACAGGGACCATCATTCCAATATCTATTACCCATGATGTCCTATATCAACAGTTCTTTCTCCTTTACGTCTCATTTAGAGCCACTCTAATACAGCGCCGAGATCACACTGGGACATACGGTGCATGTCGCACATGACGTGGCGACGAAGACCATCGCAGCATCAACGTAATCTCGGAGCGATGAGCGCCGAGGCCAGCGCAATCATCAGGGAGTTGCGGAAGCCACCAACCACGACAGCATTCTTCAACTTGCCCCACGCACCACACCGCCACCTCCACGATGCTGCACATCCAGACTATCGCGCCGCGCTACTCGTCCTCGGACAAGGCCCAAACCAACCACTACCTCGACCTCGCCGACCAAAGCATCTTCGAGATCCTTGCCAAAGACGACGGCTCCG